GCCTACTACATCATCTTGATCGACGTATCTCGTAGTGGAGGAGGAAGCACCGCTTGTACACATCTCTCTTGATTGGGACTAATTTTGGTTCAAGTCGGGATACACTTTCTGGTCCAACTTTCTCTGAATTGCAATCCGTTTGCACTGTTGCGATCAGACAATCAAGCTCTATCCAATAATATAATTTTTTTATTTATCTATAGTACTTTTTTTGACAATGTATTTTTGGGTGTTTGACTTTGACAGAGTCAAAATTGATTTAATTGACCTTTATTCAAAAAGGTTCTCACGTTTAATTCATATCATTTATTCTCGTGATTTATTCCAATAAATCATCTCAAAAGGTCATATCATAAATCAAAATCTTTATTTATTCTTAATTTGGGTTTATACTCTAGTTCATAATCAAGATCACACAAATAGTCAATATATTGGATTTATCTTTATGAGATTTATCCCGATTGTGATATTTGGTTATCAAAACATATTTATTTTGGCCCAAAGCACAACAATAATTTATTTTAATCAAAAGAAATTTGATTAATTGAATAATAATTCAATAATAATTTTAGGGTATGTGTTGGGGCGTCACTCACTTTTTGGTCCAACTCTTTTCGAGTTACAATCTGATTGCACCGTTACGATCAGACATTCAAATTCTATCTAACGATACAATTTTTATATTTATTTTTAATACTTTTTTCAACATCATATTTTTAGGTGTTAGACTTGACAGGGTCAATACTGATTTAATTAATCTTTTATTCGTAAGGTTTTTATATTCAATTCATATTATTTATTCTCATGATTTATTTTAATAAGTCATCTCAAAAGTTCACATCATAAATCCAATTTTTTATTTTCGCTTTGGATCTGTACTCTTGTTCTCAATCAACATCGACAAATAATCAACATATTAAATTTAATCTTCATGAGATTCATCCAGATTGTGATATTGAATATCAAAACATTCAATTTTGTCCTAAGGGCCAACAATAATTTATTTTAATCAAAACAAATTTGTTTAGTTGAATAATAATTCAATATAACTTTTAGGGTGTGTTTTGGGGCATTACATATCTCTCCTTAACGGAATTTAGGGTGTGTTGGGTGAGCAAACAAGATATGGATTTTGATATCTCTAGATATCAAAATTCTTTTTAAATGTTTGCTGAATTCAAAAAATATATCAAATTCAATATCTCTAGATATTATAAATCCTTCAAATGAAGGGTTTCGATATCTCTTGAATTTGGGAGATATTAATATGGGGGTTTGATATCTTTCTCAACCATTGATAATTCTTTGTCACTGGCTACCATTGTCACCATCAACCACTCCATTGCAAGTCACCCCCTCTTATCACTAATTAAATCGTGATTTGAAATCTCTCCAAACAAATTCATTTCAGATTTCAAAACCCATATCATTTTCCCTAGATTTCATAACTCATATATGATCATTTCTCTAAATTCACCAAACAAGCCATTAGCCATCGAAATTCTTCTAAGGCTCAATGATCAACATCTTGTTTGTATTCACGTTAGTCATGTCATATGACTGCATCATGTTTATGCAGTTAATTCATGATTACGTCGTTGTCCCTAAGGATATGTATTCTCAAACTATTAATTGCATGACGATATTCTTTCTTTGATTGAAAGTACTTCAATGACATTTGTAGTTTCGAATTATCAAGTTCACGAGAGGTATAATTTGGAGATTTGGAGGTTGCTTCAATTCACACGTCATAGCATAACCTTCGAGTTTACTCAAGAAATCTTCACAACATTCATAGAGTTTAGTAATGACTTGTAAGTGACATGAAATGACTTTTGGTTTAGGGTTTTTAGAATGTCGGACTTATCACCATTTGTGAGAAAGTATTGTCAATTGGTGGTATAGTAGTCCGTCATTATCGATCTTACGTCGAACCATTTTCTTCGCTCACCTTCGTGATAATTCTGATTACCGTCAATGGGTCCCTGTATCAATTCATATTCATAGGTGATGACGCTCGAGTGGCGTCTCATATTCGTTTCATCATACTCAACTTTCTTTCGTTGACTGGAAAGTAGTATATCAAGGTATGTTTACAAAAATAACAGGTTCAATTATAGTGCTATGGTTGATCTTTGTACCTTAATCAGAAGAACATGGACGAGAAATATCAAACGAAAAGATGTACATTTTAGTGTGAATGGACAAGGAAGAAGAGGGAGATGAAGGGTTCTCAGTTGGGCTCGTGAGAAGTGAATTTACACTACAAGATTTCACGTAATTTGCTATGGAAAATTTCTGTCTAGAGCGCTGTCAAATTTTGGAGTAGCCGAGTTCTAGCAAATGTCAAAGAGGAGAATCCAATCTTGGAGATTGAAGATAGTGAACAGTAGCTAGGCTTGAGAGGAGAAGGAAGGTCAGGCAAATCCCTACGTTTTTGGTTGGATTTACAAACAAGACTTTTATTTATACTCAAAACTAAAAATTCATCATAATCCATAATTTATAAAAAATATTTGAGAATCTATCAATTTTTAAAACCATTAGATTTAGAAAGATGTTATAAAACTTGGGTCAATTTCACCAATGGTACCTGAACTTTAGCTGTAATTTCGAAGTGGTGCCTAAACTTCAAATCCTTTCACAAAAATCCATGAACTTACACAATCCATTTTCCCGTTTCTAGGTTAACTTCTGGTCATTTAGGCCAAATTAGAATTTTATATATTTTAAAATTTTCAATTTGACCCCATTTCTTTTTTTCTTTTCTTGTGCTCCCCGCCACCGTCGCACCACGTCAAAGTCACCGGAAAATCAACCTGGTCAGATTCCGGCGGGACCAACGACGTTCTCTCAAGATGAAGAGAACGGTGTTGGTCCCGCTGGAATATGACCAGGTTGATTTTCCAGAGACTTTGACGTGGTGCGACGGCGGCGGCGGGGAGCAGAAGAAAAGAAAAAAAAAATGGGGTCAAATTGAAAATTTTAAAATATATAAAATTCTAATTTGGCCCAAATGACCGGAAGTTAACAAAGAAATGGGCAAATGGACTTTTAGTGAAAGGATTGTGTAAGTTCTAGGATTTTTGTGAAAGGATTTGAAGTTTAGGTACTAATTCGAAATTCCAGCTAAAGTTCAGGTACCATTGGTAAAATTTACCCAATAAAACTTTAATGGAATACTTCTGGATTTTAAATGATTTTCTAAGATCTCCATTGAATACGCCTAGATTTTATATGATTTTCCAAAATCTCAATTGATTACATCTAGATTTTAAATGATTTTTCAAAATCTCAATTGAATACTCACTAACTTTTAAAATACAAAAAAGCTCATTCGACCCTGAGTTTTTTTATCAGACCCTAATTGAATACACCTTCTTTAGACTTAGTTTTTTTATGCTATTCACTTTATTTAAATGTACTATCTATCCATACATTTTCAAGTTAATAATAATACACAAAAACACCTTCACTTCCGCTAGAGCTACTAGGTGGACGTTCCTATGAAGGGAGGAAGAAGTTGACTAAGATTTAGGTGGTGTGTATTCAACTTAGATTTTAAAAGATTATGTTAATTTTTTATAATCCATGTATTATGTAAGACTTATGGATTTTTAATTCTATGTAGACCTAAATAGATTTCCATCTATTTTATTGTAAAGACTTGTTAAGATACTAATGGACTGTTCTTCATTATTGCGGAGGCCCAAATTGATTAAAAGAGAAAAAATAAAAAAGAAGACAAGGCTCTGGTTCAAAGCAATAGGAAAGGATACAAAGAGACAACAATCCGACAATTTGGATTGCTTTGCACAAGCAACGATGATTAAGATTTCAACACACATGGTTCTCACATAAGTTCCTTCCTCGCAGGAGATCCAGAACACAACCAAGTGCTTCTCGGCGTCATGCTCGAAAGTTCCCATTTTCCTAAATAACTCCTCCGTATGACATATGATAAGCCAAATGTATAACCTATAAACCACCTATATGCTCAAGATGAAAGGTATGCAAGGAATGGTCATATGATGCAAGAATTATGAAATTCTCCCACAATTAAATTCACACCTTCAGGTTTTGGGGTTCAAGGGTCTTTAGGTATTCAAACAATTCATTCAGTCCATTACCAAATCTCTGTTCTATTGGACTACGGAGATCAATGGGGGCCGCTCGAAAATGCCACCAGTTAGGGTTTCAAGATCCCTAGCCACCTTGGCGACATCGGGGATAACAGAGTGCCAAAGTGCAATCCGGCTACACAATGGGAGGAGATCGTCGACGCTGAAGCCGGTCATCGATTAATCAGTGATCGTGCAGAAGGAGAAATTGTGTATTGGTGTTGTCGCCGATAGATCGAGAAGTTGCGTGAAATCTATTCGTGCAGAAGAAGAATACGAGTCCCCAAAATCCAAGGGCTATTGGTCGGATTTGGAACGAGATTTATATTTATAAAAATAAACATTATAAACAATCTCATTAACAAAAATAGTAAAAAATGTATCTATTTGACAAAATAAAATGAAAACACAAAAAAATTTTACATAAAAGAAAAAATGCAGTAAGAAGAAGAATATTTCCCATGTAAAATAAAAATTACGAACAAATTTTATGTAATACGGATGAAGGATATATATTTTATTTAATGTTTTTAAAAAAACTAAAAACAACAATATTTGGCAATATTTAGTGTATGTTACACATTAAAATATAATCGTAGTAAAATTTTTATGCAATTGAATACTTTAAATTAAACAAATAAAATAAAATTTTAAAAAAGTAAAAAATTACATTTATTCAATCCGATCGCAGTCCAATTTGGGTTTTACCAGTCCAGTCCCGGGCCGATCGTTACCTTAATAGGTCCGGTACTTAGTCCACAATAAGCCTCTTATTCAGTCCCGGTCCAGGCCGGGTCCGGTCCAGGTTCGACCCTAGGAACACCCGCAACCTGGCCCGCTGGCCTACTAAAGTTGACCGCAATTCATATTGCCATCGGGACGACTCACTTCCCGAACCAGAGGGACGAAGTCTAAACCCAACGCCGCAGTGTCTTTTCTCCGCCATGGCTGCCGTTGTACTGCCTTCGCCCATCCAATCCCCCTCTATTAACCTAAAAACCAAGATTTCAGCTCTTCAGCCCACCAAAACATTCGCAATTCCTAATTGCACATCATCCGTTGCTGGGCTTTGGTTGAAGAGGAGTTCTACTATAGCGCCTTTGGCCTTTTCGCGAAATTCTTCCGCGTTAGCAGTCGAGGAATCCACAGACACAGCTAAGAGAGGAAGGAATTCCATCGTTGTTATCGACAATTATGATAGCTTCACTTACAACTTGTGCCAAGTCAGTCCCTTTCAAAAGTTTTTGGTTTATGATCGCGTTCATTCTTTAATTAGCATTCTTTTGTTTTGTGGTTTGAAGTATATGGGAGAGTTGGGATGCGATTTTGAGGTTTATAGGAATGATGATCTCACGGTGGATGAATTGAAGAAGTAAGTCAAACCTGTATATTGCTTTTAGTTATTCTTTTAACCTGATACTCATGAAATGCCAATTTTAAAAGAGGCCTCATGCTTGTTTGGTTTCTCAATCAGAAATGACACTGCTTTCTGTTTCTGTGTTAGTAATTAAACGAATAGTTGCTTGTTATATGATTCTTAAAGTTACAGGGTAAAGTGGGGACCCTTTTTTCTTCCACCTTTTTATATTCATGTTTAAAAATTTGAGTTATGAGTGATCCAGGCAAAGCATGTGGCATGTGGAATTTCATATTCCAAGCAGAACGAAATGTTAATGATAAAATTACTGGCTTGCTGCAATGGTGATATGTATGCTTATTTGATTTCTCAAATGTAACCTAACCCAGAGAATTAGTCAATTAGCCAAAGTGTTTCTTTAGTTAGGTGAATGTATGACAATTTTGTTTCAATCTTTATAGGAAAAATCCAAGGGGAATTGTCATATCACCAGGCCCTGGTAATAAGAATGTTGAGGAGATTCTATTGCAGCACTTTCATTTTGTTACTATTTTTCATCTTTTTTCACCATTCCAGCAGAAATAAGTGCCTTTTTTTATTTTTAATGATCATAGGAGCTCCCAAAGATTCAGGAATATCATTACAAACTGTTCTGGAATTGGGACCTATAATTCCATTATTTGGTGTTTGCATGGGGCTGCAGTGCATAGGAGAGGCTTTTGGAGGTGAGTTCTTATAGTAAAATACTTATTCTAACCCAAATCTCTATGTGATCAAAGTCATCAAACATCTATTTTATTGCTTTGGTAATTTACAACTAAATTTTTAATCATAAAGGGTTACACTTTGATGAATTCAAATCCCCTTTTCATCTTCCCACTTTCCTTTTTTGGATGTCCCAAATCAATCGTTCCATTTCCTTTTAAACAAAGAATTGTTTGGTTCTTGTTAATTCTCTCAAATCTCAACAAATTTCAACAACACAATCTAACCTTTCTTAGAATTTGTGTAAAAAGCAAATGGGAAGATTAAACATGGAAGGAGGGAGTAGCAAATTAGTGTTATTCTCTTGTTTTTCTTCATCATGATTACTCCTTAGCGTGCCATTGAGAACTTCATGATTTATTTGATATTAGCCATTTAGCCATCTAGGGCAAGAACTTGAGACCATTACTAAATGAAGAGAAAAGTAGATTTCAAATTGTTTATTCCCTAGGGCTGGGCTAAAATGTGTTATATATAAGATGCTCAAGCTAAAGCCTGTAATTGTGCATTGTTTAGATGAGTTAGTTTGCCTCTAACACATAAGCCTCATTGTGTAACAAGGTTTAAGTTTGGGTTTAAATACCAATTTAGTACTCCCTCCATCCCAAAATGAAGTTTATACTTTCTTTTTTCAAGATGTCCACAAATAAAGTTTACCCATCCCCACGTTCCGATTAAGGAAAGCAATTTCTGACATAAAACATTGCTTTCTCTTAGAAGCAGATTCCAAACACTTACGTTTTACTTCTTCTCTCCCATTGTTTTTATACATTATTTCTTTTTGGGACATCTCCGTGTATTTGTCCACTTTTTATAAGCAACTAAATATGGGATATAAAGTCTATTTTAGCCCTCTTCGGCTCATCATTTATTCACCACTCAACCTCTTCCTAGGTTTGTAGATTTCTATCCTTAGATCTTCAACTCTCTCTTTCATCTTCGGTGCTGCTAGATTTCTTTCGATTAGAGTTGAGGTCTTCCGGCTGTTGGCGATTAAGGGTAGAACAGATTGGCCATTCACCACGCGTCTTTCCCGGAGCACATGTTCTCCCTCTTTGTCAGATCCATGTCCCTTTCTCCGAATTTCATGGTCCACATCTGTGGAAAGAAATTGTCGTCGATCTGGGAAGCATTGGTGAACCCGTTGAACCAGTGTCAATCTATCTCCTTGTGATAACACTGATGGTCAAAATAAACCTTCTGTCGTGAAACATCTACTGCGATGAAAGTGTGAAACATCTTAAGCCCATATCTTTTTACATTAGTATTGGACGTTTTTACCAAGCATATCCAAGAACCCGCCCGTATCATGCCGCATGCTTTTTGCCGATGATATCATCCTTATGGGCACCGAGAGGATTTGAAAGAGAAGTTGGACTCATGGAGACAGGCCTTGGAGTTGTATGCCTTGCGTATAACAGTATAAGTCGCATTATATTGCATGGTGTTGTAGTTCGGTAACAGAGTATTGGAGTGCGGTTTCTAGAGTTTAGTTGAAATTAATATTGTATCAAGACTCCAATCTTCTATCCCTAGGTTCTAGCTTCCAGACTCTAGTTACAATTAAGGTAAAAAGGCCCTAAGGGTAACTTTTGAGGCTTGGAAATACTAGACAAAAGATAATGATGATCAGAAATATGACTAGATGTATTCAAGACACATTCTATAAAGTTAAATGAAGACACATGATGTTTGGATCCTTTAGACTTTTGCTATGCCTCTTACTCATGTGGTAGGATGACAATAGGAGAAGATAGAAGCAACACTGCCAGAACTAGGTGTATTTCCAAAACATAACCCAGTGTCCATTTTTAGCAGTGTTTTGAGATGCACTCGGGAGGCTCGTCTCCCTCGCCTAAGGAACCTCAGGTGAATGGGTGATCTTGCAGCGCCTCAATGGAGTCAGGTGAGGCGATGTCCCTAAAGTGCACCTGAGTTGTTTTCCTCTCTCGCCTCAACCAACGCATAAGGCAATTGCTTTTCTTGCCTTTCGAATATGGGCCTGTAAAAGTGGGCTTACAGCTTAAGCACGCTTCTTTAAATAAAATTTGCCCTAGCAGTGTTCTTTTTTTCTTTCTCTTTTTGCTTTGCATGTGTTGTTTCTTTCCAGTGCACCTCATCTTTTTTTTTTTTGCTGTGCAGTTGTGTTTTGATTAGACATAATGTTATAATTATTAGTTGTCTATTTATATATACTATCTATTACTCCCTCCGTCCGGGAATGATGTTCCCTGTTTGACTTTTCTTCATTTTTAAGGAGAGTTGACAATTAGAAGTAAATGTCCAAAATACCCTTTTTTGTTAGCATCGCCCCTGCCCTCATCAGGGCACTACCACTGCCTTCCCACCCATCAACGCAGCCGCCCACCCCCCACTATTGCCGCCCACGCCCCACCATCACTGCCGCCCACAATCCCTTAATCTCCGCCACAATTGCCAATCTCATTAGACTCGCCTCAAAATCTAAGATCTAAAAAGACTGAGTAATAAAGGGGAGAAGAAAAACATATGCCCCGTCGTCCCTAGCCCTACTATCACCAGCGATCCTACAATCGCTTCCATCGCCACCGTCATATCTGGTACAGATCGGTTGTAGATCTAGGAGTCAATCAAACATGAGAATGAAGGGTAAGAAGAAGAAAAAGAAGAAGCAATCTTGGAGAAAAAAGAGGGCCGATTAGGGAAGAAAAAAGGAGAAGATCCGATCTGAAGAAGGATCTAGAGATTTAAAAAAAAGCCGAGAAAAGAGAGGGGGAGAAAAGAGAAGGGAGAGAAGAGAGAAGGAGAAGAGGTGGAGAGAGAGATCGAAAGAGAAAGAGAAAGGGTGGAAGAAGATAAGAAAGGAGTGGGTGGAGAGGAAAAGTTAAAGAAATGTCAGGAATTGGGTGAGAAAAGGAGACGGAGAGAAAAAATAGAGTATTTGGGTAGGGGTATTTTGGGTAGTTTATGTGTTAAAGAGTAGAATGGGAACATCATTTCCGGACAAAAAAAACGTAGAGTGGGAACATCATTTTCGGACGGAGGGAGTATTTATTTTGGATCCATTATCAATTGCATTAATATATATATATATATGTATGTATGTATGTATATATATATATATGTATGAATGCATATATATGTGTATATATATATATATATATATATATATGACTCTGGTGAGATGACACCTTACGGTGAGATGACATGCTTCGGTCAGATGACACAAAGCTCACTACTGGCTATTGCAAAGCTCACCAAAGACAACTATAAAGCTCACCAAACTGTAAGGCAAAGCTCACCACATTTTTCCAACACTTTGATTTTTTTTTGAAAAAATAAAATCAAAGGAAGGGGTGCCGACTGGACTTTGACTGTTGACCGTCAGCATTGAGTACCGCCTGCCGCCGCCGCCGTTGCCGTCGCCGGCAGCCACTGCCAGCCACCGCCGGACTCCGGCCGCCGCCGCCACCGCCGGCCGCCGCCTCCGGACTCCGGCAGCCACCGCCGGTCGCCGTCTCCGGACTCCGGCCGCCACCGGATTCCGGCCGCCACCACTGCTCTGCCGCCGTTGACCGGTGGTTGACCGGTGTTGTTAATTTATTTTTAATTAATTTTTTAATTTTTAAAATTTAAAAAAAAGGTGAGTTTTGGGGTTCAAAATGGTGAGCTTTGCTTTATTTCCAAGTGAGCTTTGCATTGTGCATTGGTGAGCTTTGTAGTGTGGTGTGGTGAGCTTTGCGTCATCTAACCGAAGCATGTCATCTTACCAGAAGGTGTCATCTCACTGGAGTCAATCCCTATATATATACTCCGTGTATATATATATATATATATATATATATATATATATATATATATATATATATATATATATATATATATATAAGAGAAGATTTTTATTGATTTAATAACACAGAAAGGGAAGGGTTACATCTGCCATAATGGCTCCCTTAATAGAAGGCGGAATAGATGAAAGTGAAATACATTGAGAAAAGAAATTTTTCTTGCTAGCCCATTTGGCTAGATTATGTGCTCTCATATTTCCTTCTCTGTAAATGTGACGCAGATTGTTTCCACCTTCTTGGATTGTTCGTTGAACACCTGTCCATAGGCTCTCGATTAACTCCCGGGCTTTTGTTTCCATGCATTGCTTTTGTGATTGTCTCCGAGTCTGTGTGGGCCCAAATCTTGTTGGAGAAGCATTTGGCCCAATTTAGTCCAAGAAGTAAAGCCCATGCTTCTTCTAGAATATTGCTTGCGTTGATGCTCCATGTGCTGGCTGCCATAAAGTTTCCATGACCGCTGCGTAGGATAGCTCCCCCTATCATCTTTGAGTTCGTGAATGCTACATCTGTTGAAAGATGTAGACAGTCTTCTGGTGCTTGCTTCCAACAATGGATTTTGATCTTATGTGTGCCGATCTGAATGGGAGAGAGCTCTGTGGGAAGACGCCGCCAGGCGCCATCATAGTTTGTAAGGCGGCAAGGCGAGGCGAGGCGCCAATGTACCTTCATATCGCCTAGGCGACTAGGCGCGCGCCTAGGCGATGACTAGGCGACATACATATATACACACACCCACATATATATATATATTAATATTAATATTAATGTTTATATTTATATATATGTATATGTATATGTATATATAGGTCTTATACATTTTAAGAAAGCTTGACATAGAAGACCGAGAGAGAGAGAAGAAGATAAGTTTAAGTCTATTAGGCTACACTAAACGAAAATGGGCTGCACTAAAAAATGGGGTTTTTCAAAATTTTAAAGTGGCCCCAGGAATCAAGGCGAGGTAAGGCGAATTAAGGCGAGGTAAGGCGAGGAAAGGCGACGCCTAGGCGAGCGCCTGGTCGCCTTATGGTTTTCTAGGCGAGGCGAGCAGACAAGGCGTCCCAGTGATAGCGCCTTATCGCCTCGGCGACGCCTTACAAACTATGGGCGCCATACCTCATAAGCTTGCTAGGTGCTCTCCCTAAAACCCAGGATTGTAACTGCCCTATACAGTCCTGAATTAATTTGTGCTTTTCTTTCACAGTGTTTTCATTTAGACGAAGATTTCTCTCCTTCCAGATTTGATGAAGTATGATCCCTGGTAGGATACCTTTGATCCAGTCTTCGAGCGTCTTGAGAATGCAGTTGCTCCACCATCGTTGCAGGTGAGCTCTCACCCCATGCGTTGTTTGCCATGGAATTTTGAAGATCAGTAGTTCCAGATGCTTCGTGCATAGGGGCATTGAATCAAAGTGTGAAGTGCTGAGTCTTCATTCTCCTTGCATAATGGGCATTGAGTTGGCAAGGATGCAAACCCAAATTTTGTTAATGCTGTGGGAAAGGGTAGTAGGTTAAAGTAGATTCTCCACTGGAAAAAAGCAATTTTAGGAATTTGTTTTGTTTTCCAGATGATTTCCATGTCTTGGTTTTCCTCTCCTTCTTCTTGTGCTTGGATTGCTTGGTATGCTTCCTTTAATGTGAACTGATTGAGGTGAGTAGGTCTCCATTGTATGTCCTCATCATCAGCTGCAAAAAAGATATTAGTAGCACAGTTGTGTATAGAACAAATTCTTTTCCATATAGTGGAATCTGTAATTTTGGGAATGAAGTTGTTATTTCTGGGGTATCTAGTTCTCATGAATTGACTCCATAGTGAATTATTTGCATGATAAGTCCACCACAACTTGAGGCTATATGCTTCCTGTAGAGTGGCCAAGGACCTGACTCCCAGACCTCCCTTATCTTCCGGCATACAAATCTTGTCCCAAAGCCCAATGATACTTGTCTTTTCCTTTATTGTCTCCCCAAAGGAAAGAGCAGATCTTTTTATTGAGGAGGGTAGTGACAGATTTAGGGATTTTGTTCACAGTGAGGGTATGGAGGGGTATAGAGTTGAGGACGTGTTTGATAAGAATCAGTCTACCACTAGGAGTGAGGTGTTTTCTGTACCAACCTTTAAGCTTCTTATCAAACTGATCAATGAGATCTTTACAGTAAGGTTCTCTATTGATACCTCTGAAGATCTGGACCCCAATGTATTTAAAAGGCAGGTCACCTTTTTTCATTCCCAAGATTTTGGCCATGGTTTTAATTCGCTGAGGTGGGGTTTTGTGAGGGGGGTAGAAGCTGCTTCTGTCCAGGTTGATCTTTTGACCAGAGCAGTGTTCATAAGTTTTTAAAAATTTGTGAAATTTGGTGAGGTTGGTGGAGGTACCATTAAGGAAGATGATGAGGTCATCTGCAAAAGCCAGGTGTGTTATGGGTAGGTAGTTTCTCCCCATACTATAACCTTGAAGGGGGTTTATTGCAAATACAATTTTTAAGAGATCTGCTAAAACCCTCTGAGGCAATGATGAAGAGTAAAGGTGAGATTGGGTCACCCTGTTTCAGCCCTCTAGAATTGTGGAATGATTTTGTGTTTTTCCCATTGATATTCACGGCAAGAGAGGTGGAGGTGAGGATATTCTGGATGAGGAGTATGTACTTGGCACCGAACCCAAATCTTTTCAACACTTCCATTAAGTATATCCAAGAAACTCTATCAAAAGCCTTAGACATATCAAGTTTGATAGCTAGGTTTCCTCCCAGCAGTCATTAGAGAGACCATGGAACATTTCTTGGGTGATGAGGATCTGGTCATGAATGAGCCTTTCCTTTACAAAGCCCCCTTGTTCTGGACTGATGATTTTAGGAAGAATGGAGGACAATCTGGAAGCCATGATTTTGGAAATAGTTTTGGCCATGAAATTAGAAAGACAGATGGGCCTGAATTCAACAAAGTTTGAGGGGTTGTCCACCTTGGGAATGAGGATTATAGTGGATGTGGTAAGGGATTTAGGTGGAGGTATGCCAAGGAAGAATTCCTGGATGGCTTTCCAAATATCCTCTTTAATGATGTCCCAACAGGCCCTAAAGAAGTAGCCATTATAGCCATCGGGCCCAGGGGAGCTGTCTGGGCTTAGCTCCCAAACAGCTTCTTTGACTTCTTCAAGAGTTGGAAGGGCTGAGAGGAAGATATTGTCCTCAGGGGTTAGGATATGTGGGATGTTGGAAATGATGTCAGGGCTGAGGTTGGTGGGTTCTTCAGTGAAAAGGGATTTGAAATAGGATATGGCTTCAGAGGAGATATCTTCCCAATTTTGGTACCAAATGCTATTGCTGCCCTTTATTTTTTCAATATATATATATATATATATATATATATATATATATATATATATATATATATATATATATATATATATATTATTTTTGGAATATTTAACTACACACACCATGTTTGCCTTTTTCTTGCCTGCCTCTCGCCCTTAAAATAAAGCCCTCTCGCCCGTCTCCCACCTTTCAAAACTATGATTTTAGACAAAATCACGCTCCAGATGGGTTCTCTCTTGTGTTTTCTCGTGGATTCTGCCCTTCCCGGATTTTTGAGCTAAGAACCATGGATTCACCACACAGGTGTTATATGAAAATTCGGTGCTGCCTGAAGAATTCTGGCAAAGCCATTAGTCGAAGTGGAAATAGCTGGACTGGAAGTCAAAGTGGAAATAGCTGGACTCGAAAGATATTTCTTGTGAGTGGATTGTATTTCCTGGTGCAAAGCTGCGAAGACCAACACCATCACAAGCTACTGCCTTTGTGCTAACAGTTGCCCCTTGCATTCTCCAATAGATTAAATACTATTGTTTTCACAGTAAAGCTTCAACTCAGCCGAGTAAATATTGAATATCCAAGTTTTGTTGTTTCAGACTGGTCATCTTGGATCTAATCATCCATAAGAAAACAAGCTTTGAATATCATTGATTTAACTTGCCTTGGCTTTTCTTTTTCACTTCTTTCCACGTATGTGACTATGTGAGATGATTGAAATGCAGGGTACAGTTTCAGGTTCATGGATGAATATTCCATAGACTATATTGATGCACCCATATTTTCTAACTAGCTTTTCTTTCCCGTGATTGTGTCAACATCTGTAGTTAAATGGATGAAGGGATATGTGCACACCTGTGGAGATGGTGTCTAAAGCACATGCACCAATCATATCGAATGGGAAAAAGAACAATATGATGACATGTTCCCAAGAGGTGGGGGTGGGGTTACCAGTGGGGGGTCACGATGAGGAGAAGATGTTAGTGGTGGGTTCAGATTTGATGGACCACTACCGGAGCTGGAAGCGTGGAACAGTATCGAGACCACTACTCTTGCTGAAATAGGAGTTGCGCACACCAAAATAGTGATTGCCTTGATACAATACAAAAGAAAATGAAATGTAGTATCTATTTCATGTTCAATACCAGAATTATAGTGTGCCTATATATAGCTAGATATCAGCACTAAGTGATTACTTACCTCACAAAGACATCATCACCTTTTTACACAACTAGGATACTCCAATAGTACTTTCTACATTTTTATGACAATTATACAACTCATATTTGACAAAACAGCAACAAAAACAAGAGAACTGTGAATTGTGGAAATAGGAACGCACCTGATGCATTTATGAATTGGAATGAGCGGTGATAGAGCATAATAAATAGGAAAAAGAAAGAAGGATGTCATGCATACAAGATTGGAGTGCATGGATAAAGCATGCCTAGATAAATATCATCTACGAATGTTTTTAAAAGATTTTCATTAAATGTGTAATACTTGTAGTATATTTGGACAAAACTAATTTTGTAATATATACTCCTCCGCGCTATAAAAAAGTTTCACATTTTTTATTGTTCGTCCCAAAAAAGTTCCACTTTCTATATTTGGAAAAGCTTGTGTGGCTCATGATTTTTCTCCACTTCACCTCTTCCAACCACACAATTTCACTTTTTTAATCTCCGTGCAAAGTCAAACGTGAAGCCTTTTTACAAGTATTTGACCTTTCTTGAACTTTCAAATGGTATCTGTGAAAAATCGACACAGAACAGCAAGAGGCAGAGCACACCTTTACTATCTTTTAGTTAGTCTAAATTCCTACTATCATAGTTTGCATCTTAGTTCCTAGGTGAAAGATGCAGTTTTTAATGCAATTTTTGGAACTCTATATGCAGGAAATGTAGTGCGTTCTCCCTATGGGGTGATGCATGGGAAAAGTTCCCCTGTGTATTACAATGAGGGTGAAGAAGATGGCTTGTTTACGGGGTTGCCAAAGTAAGCTCTTAGAAATTTATTCAATAACATTTATATTAGTGGAATAGTGGTAGGTAGTGAATAGATTTTTTTTTTTGTGTTTTATGTTCTATATATATGTGTGTGTGTGTGTGTGTGTATTTTTAAGAGAAGATTTTTATTGATTTAATAACACAAAAAAGGAAGGGTTATATCTGCCATAATGGCTTCCTTAATAGAAGGGGGAATAGATGAAAGTGAAATACATTGAGAAAAGAAAATTTTCTTGCTAGCCCATTTGGCTAGATTATGTGCTCCCATATTTCCTTCTCTGTAAATGTGATGCACATTGTTTCCATCTTCTTGGATTGCTCGTTGAACACTTGTCCATACCTCTCGATTAACTCCCGGGTTTTTGTTTCCATGCATTGCTTTTGTGATCGTCTCCGAGTCTGTGTGAGCCCAAATCTTGTTGGAGAAGCATTTGGCCCAATTTAGTCCAAGAATTAAAGCCCATGCTTCTCCTTCTAGAATACTGCTTGCGTTGATGCTCCATGTGCTGGCTACCATATAGTTGCCATGACCGCTGCATAGGATAGCTCCCCCTATCATCTTTGAGTTCGTGAATGCTACATCTGTTGAAAGATGTAGACAGTTTTCTGGTGCTAGCTTCCAACAATGGATTTTGATCTTATGTGTGCCGATCTGAATGGGAGAGAGCACTAGGAAATTCTAATTACACTTGGAAATTCTAATTCGCGCACCTTGAGTCACTTGTATCCTGAAATCTGATTCTTTTATCTTCAATACTTCTCCACCTCTTCAATGACCACACCGCAGCTGTAGATCTCAAATTTTCAACGGAAGCAAATCTGAAACTTAATTGGAGTCTGAGTTGTACGTAAGATTTATTCTTTTAGAAAAAATGTTATTCTTTCTCATGTTCTTTCACGCGATGACTTTAATTTGTAATTTTTTTTTTTGAAATTTTAAAAGATGTATGTTGTTTTGTTTAATTGTTTCATGGACTAGAGTTCAATTTATTTAAAACTCTGCAATTAGTATACAATTAAATAATATGGAATAAAATTAATATATTCTGTGTAAAACAACTAAACAAGAGATGACATGACTATATTATTTTATCAAATGATACATAAAAATATGTAAATAAAGATGAAATTGTTTGACTGTCTAAATAGCAAGTTAAAAGAATCAAATGGAACAAATGAAATTTCGTAGTATAGTTGTATGATTTTGAGTGTGACACTAATTTTGTTATTCAAAATTAGGGTTGATATATGAAAAATATAATATAACATGTCTATATAAATAACTTTTATTCTTTTACTATGTGAACTAAGTCTCACCCGCACTCACAAAATTTTCTAACTGTGACGCATCCGCGCACTTGCCCCCCGTCTTCGAAATCACATTATGTGACCTAGGGTCAGACTTGTGCATCCGACCCCCCCCCCCCACCCCGCAATGGGCGGGAGCCTTTGAGGCACCGGAGTAGTATTGTTGTTTTGTGACAGACTGACAACTCTTTTCATTGTTTTAAACTTTTAATTTCCTCATTTCGGAAATGTAAAAGAAATGATGTGAAGCTTGGAAATTTGAATTTTTACATTGTAAATACTGTCAGAAAGAACCAAAGATTTATGGTAAAGTCTTTTAATCTTTGGAACATATGAAAGCTTTATACCTTGGGTTCTGCATCGGGGGATTAAACTTCCCGCTATCCTTAAATTTTAACTAAATATATTGTAATTAATATGTATGTGGAGTATCCTGGTAAAATTATGTCTTTAATTTAATTTGTAACAAAAATCTCCTAGTATGCTTTCATTTTTATTACCTTAGCATTTGAAAAATAGCACAAATCTTTTGTTGTCTTTCTATTGAATAATGTTTAGTTTCTTTTCAATGTATTGATGATGGTGCGTGGCCATTGTATT